AACTCTTGTTGATCAGCTCCTGAAATTTCCTCTTGACCAACCCTACTGAAAGCTTGTTGGGACCCCCGCCAGATATGACCATCACGGCTGGGAAGTTCTCCCAAGGTCTACGAGCAGATTACGTTATGTCGGCCTCATATGGGAGACAAAAGTCCTTTGGTAGAGACATGCGTAGGGCGACTTGTAGCACAGTCTCGCCGGATGGTGGCGGCACCTCCTCGACCCTCTTCACCTTGCGAGTTACTTGTCAAGGAACGTCGTCCTTTTGAGTGTATTGTTTCAAGTGCCCCTCCTTGATTAGGATTTCGATGGCATCCTTAAGGTGGATGCAATATTCCATGACATGTCCATGACTTCTGTGGAATCGGCAATACTTGGACTTGTCGGCGTTGGGCTTAGGGGGTGTCAGCTTTGGGAAGCGGATACCACCTCTTTGGAACTCCGAGTTAATTCACTCGACCAAAATGTGCTTGTAAGGAGCTGTGAGTAGCATATACTCGGTAAATCATCCTGCTGGCCCCTTTGCTCTCGGGAGTCTTGGGGCAAATCTTCTCTTATTCTCTCCCATCCTCTTTGGGGAGCGTCAGAGTCTTCGTGCCTAAACTTTCTGGCACTCTCCTGGTTCCGCGAGTCGCGGGCGCATTTGGAAGCCTTCTTCACCTCGTACTGGATGTAGGCTTGGGCCTTGTAAAGGAGCACGTCTAGCGTGTTAGGCCTTTCGATGCCGACGGCCTTGGCGAACTCAGTGTGAGGCTGCAGTCCTAGAGAGATTCTTCATTCCCTTGGATGATGGCTTCCAGGGATACTTCTGCCTTCGGGTGTCATCGGGAAGTGGTGAAGGGCCTGGAGAACTACTCTTCAGCTCTCTCCGGGAGGTGATGGACTCGGGCTCGGGGCTTTTATACCACGTCATCGCATCTTTCCTCAAGGTCATGGGAAAGAGCCTGCACTTGATTTGATTTGCTAGTCTTGTTATTATGGTGAAGAAACCAGTCACATTTTCATTGTCTTCCATCTAAAGCTATTCATACATTCTTTTGTGAGTTTGTAACCTCACCTCCTTCACTTTCTCAGCGCCTCCAAATGATTTTTCCAGGATGTCTCCTGGTTCCTTTGTTGAATCTACATAACCAATATTCTCAAAGTTTTCTAGATCAACACATTGATGGATTAGAAAGAGAGCCTTATAATTATTTTTCTTCAAATCCATATGTGCAACCTTTTGTTAATCTATAGAATTCTCCCCAATTAGTTTTACTCCATTCTTCACAAGATCCCAAAAATTATGATAACAAAAAATAACCTTTATCTGCTTATACAAATTCTCATAATTCTTACCATTCAAGATTGGAGGATTTGCTGAAAAATTCATGTTCAGGTGGTTCATCTTGATTCAATGTGTCCCAAATATCACATAACCAATTCTATAGATACCATATGTTGGGAAAACCACTATCTTTAAGTTAACCGAATTAATCTTGATGAACAAGAATCAAATTTTCAGATTGATTACACCTCTTGTTCTTCACCATTTACTCAGGTGAAACAATCACTCCTTAGTTGCAAGATGATTTATACACTACACAGCGAATTGAAGGAAGAAACTAATACATTGAAAATGAGAAAAGAGAAATTCTGGAAGAAGAAGAAGAAGAAGAAGAAGAAGAATGTATAGAAGAATGTATTGTTGTGCAAACTGCACTCCAAGTGTTTGCTACAATGTGTGTTAATCACAACTGTGATTTTTGAAACTACACAAACCTATTACAAAATTTGTTATTCTCTCTCATACAAATGAAATAAAACTTCTCTTTATTTATATATGATATTTAGGGATGCTCATGGTTGGTTTATTCACGTAACCCATCCATATCCAAAAGAAAACCATTTATTTTATCCGGTTGTCATAACCAATCCATATAAATGATTTTGTTTTTACAAAACCAATTATAAACCGGTTATATCCATAACCAAATTTTATAACCAATTATATATTTTATATCCGGTTTTAGAGTTCATATCCGGTTTTCAACTTAAAACCGAATTTAAATATAAAAATCCAATTTTTAAAACTGGACATTCATTTTTTAACAACCGGGTTTTCAACTAAAACCGGTTTTTGACTTAAAAATTTAGTTTTTATAAATGAATTTAAAAAAAAAGTGGAATTGCCTTATGTTCAGAGTCTGTAGATCTAACATTACAAAGCACTGCAATAACTAAATTCACCATCTACCATTGTCCCAGAAATTCAACCAAAAAGTGGAATTTTCACCTTTGATCTTACATGGACCGAGATTCAAACAGTAAAACATAAATACTTCCTTACAAATATACAGAATTAGTTTAGTAGTAACTTCTACTAGTTCAACAATAAACTTACAAGATATAAAATTAGAATAAACTTCTATTACTAACATTGCAGACACATCCATATACAACTATTTTATTTTTATTCAAGCAGAAATACTAATAGAGATTCAGAACAACAAAAGACAGAAGTTGTATATATCAACAGTAAGATGGAACGTCGACCGGTCGGTAAACAAAAGTTCTGACTGTGCATATCCCCTTAGCATCTGTAAATGTCTGATAATTTAGAATATCGCCGGATTTGGTGATGCAAAGAACAACAACTTCAGCACCTGCATCAAAGCATCAGGGGACTCGATTTTATTCAGTAACCACAAAACATTATTAATTTAATTATTACATCAAGAATAAAATAAAACTCAAACTCCATAGAGCATGTTTTATAAATATAACCAAACAAAGCTAGAATGAGAAAATTGCAATCAAATAACTAGTATTCCAACAAGCAGAACAGAAAAAAATGCCAAGACTGTGCCTTCTGTGTCAAAACCCTGCTGAGTTCTTCAGCTAGAAAACCATGATTTCAGCCAACCTCAAGAAGGTTGTCATTAAACAAGTAGGATGAATAGATACCATATTTGTTTGAATCATGCAGTCCTGCTGTTTGCTGTAAATGTCTGATGCCAAAAATTCATTAAAATTAAATGACATATGTTGGAGAGAGATTTATTTCTTTATAGCAAAAACTTTCTTTTTTAAAAGAAAAAAACAATATATTAAAAACCAAGCACAGGAAATGTCAATTGAACGGTACATACAAAACAACACACCCCAACAATAATAAAACGCTCAGAGACTAACTAACAACACTAAAAATAATACACTCCAACAGAAATACAACACCTAAAGGATGCCTAACAACACCAAAATAAAACACCCCAGACCAAAACAGAAAGATCACCTAAGCTCCAAAACACATACTTCCCACCAAAGGCCCTAAGAACCGAAAAATATGAGAGATCCACCGAACTTTAAAGACCAAATAAGCAAAACATCTAAAATTCCAGACTGTGATCTTCACCTCTTCCGCAATTCTCTCAATGTGAATTTCTTTATTTCTAAATATGTTGTTATTTCTTTAGTCATGTGACAAAGCCATCCAAGTGGGCATGTGACATATTATACCTATGTTAGTCTTAGTTTCCATAGTTAATAGCAAACAATATTCATTAAATTCTATGTTGACGCAATCACCAATAATCAATAATTCCATATATATCTGGCAATTAAAGCTGCAAGAAAATACCTGACAGTTAGAAGTCTCCTTTATCTTCAATCCTCATCAAAATTATCATAAGAATTACCTCAGTTAGATTGGTTTTGTAAAAAATATTCTGAAAAATAAGGTAGAAGTCTTTAAAAAAATTATATGAAATAAATACCATCTTTAATCAAACTTTTTCAATTTATTATTAAATTTAACTTTACCTCGCTCAATCTTCTCAAGCTCTTCAATATCATCTTGTGTGGGCAATGGTGAAGGTGATCCGCCAAGCCAATCTTTTGTGCATATAAGTGCTTCCACAGATTTAGCAGTTAGGCGACTGCAATATTCATTGAGCACCCTTCCTCCGATACTGAAGGTGGACTCAGATGCCACCGTTGAGACAGGTATAGCTAATAATTGTCTCGCAATGTTAGATATGATTGGAAGTCAACTTGAATACACCTTCCACCAATTTAAGATATCAAAGTTAGGAATATCATCTTCTAATCCATCTTCTAGGTACTTTGTTAATTCAGATTTCACTCCACTTGGTTTGACACCACTTGATTGCAAAAATACCCCATAATAATAGTCGAGATTTCCAATTCGTCCAACTAATACGGGTGGTTCTGCAAAGTCACTTTGAGATCCACCTGCCCCACCACCGTTATACTCCTCAAATATTGTTTTCAAATTTAATTCTAATTTATCCTTCAAGAAATCAGCCTCTTTTTTGACAAAGTTTTTTTTTTGATAAACCAACGAGCATACATCATTTTCTTCCTGGGATCTAACACAAAAGGAATTAACAACAACATGTTCAATTTCTCAGGACTTCCCCAGTAATTATCATATTTCTCCTTCATCTTTAAAGTTATTTTTCTTGTATGAGCTAAAGATAGATCCTTAGACGAACACATGTCTTTTATAGCCAAACCAATTGAAAATACCTCTGCCAAGTACATATTACTTGTCACGTATGTTGAACCCGATATGCGCAAAGTGGAAGCCTTAAAAACTTCCAAAAATTGAGCGACCCCACGTGCCTTCTCCCAATCTAAAGGAGTAGGAATGCCGCTCCCACTCTCAAGTTCTTGACAATATTTTGTATCAATAATACCAAGCTCAATAAATGCCATTTTAAGTTGTAGAGCAGCCTTCAACATGTCGTATGTTGAATTCCATCGAGTCTCACAATCAAATTGAACACTACCTTTGTATTCAATCTTTCTACTTCTAACACATGCCAAAAACTTATGTTCTCGACCCGGAGAAGACTTAACATACTTAACAGCACCCCTGATTCTAGAAACAGAAATGTCAATTTCTTTTAAACCCTTTTTAACCACTAAATTCATGACATGTGCACAACATCTTGTATGAAAGTGATCTCCATTCAAAACCAAATCATTCTTTAACCTTAGCCTTTTTTTAGATTTTCAATCCCACGATCATTTGATGCCGCATTATCAACAGTCACACTTAAAACATTATTCAACCCCCAATTGTCCAAGCATTTTGCAACTGTATTTGCTATTACTTCTCCTGAATGACTTAAGACCCTAACAAAACTCAAAATCTTTTTGTGTAAATTCCAGTTGTTGTCTATAAAATGTGTTGTTATGCACGTGTAAGTCATGTTTTGACATGAAGTCCAACCATATGTGGTCAAGCACACGCTTCGACAATGTTGGGAAAGAAAGGTCTTCAATTTTTCCCTTTCAAAATCCCATAAAGCCAAAACATCACGTGCTACTGTGCTTCGGGAGATTGGAATAAATCTTGGTTGCAATACACTCATACAACGACGAAAAGCTTTATGATCTGCATGCATATATGGAAGCTCTATTTCCACAATCATATCAACCATTGCCTGCCTACATTTCTCTTGGTCAAATTTTCCTAACACAATTGTTGAAGGAGAAGTCACATTTGTTGTTGATGATGGGGTTGTTTTCAATCTCTTATTTGCTTCACTATTTGGGTTACTCTTGTATATCTTTGAATGTCCGGCCATGGAAGTCGTTCCACTATTGGACTTTAACTTAGAGTCACAGTAGTTGCATCTAGCTATTCCAATCAAATCTGGATCAGGAGTGAAGTGGTTCCAAACAGAAGATTTGTTTCTTTGATGGGGTGGTGCCCGAGTAAAAGTAGTTCTCGAGTTTTGTGTTGTCTCATCCGTCGTAAGATTATTATGTTTGGGCATTTCCTGCTTTTGATAGAACAACCAAATGTTAAATTAATTCAAAGAAATAAGAAATTAATAAAAATTATGCAGAGATGTTAACAAAAATTACTAAAAGCATAGTGATTTCAAAATTAAACGGAGTAAAAGTATAGTGTATAACACCATAGAATAATAAAAGTAAAGTATCTTTCACAGTTGCTAATGCTTGGACAATTCCAAACACAGAGTAAAAGTAGTACAAAATGTTAAAGAAATTTTGGAAGCTTGTCCAATTTTGGAAGCAGTGCAAAAGGATGAAAATAAGCCTAATATGTGTTGTGGTGACTACTACTGTGTAACTTTGCAACCTCAAGCAAATGAACCTCTTGTGAACAATGCAACAGTGGACTTGGCTTCTAAAATGACAGAAAAAACATCTAAGGATCCCTTCTTCCAATTTGATTTGGATGCTTATCGTTTCGTAGATTTTTTAACTGGATTAACAATCGGAGAACCCAAATAACTGTACTAGTTATTAGGTTTGGGTTTTGGGGGCAATGATATTGCGTCTGCATCAAGTGTTTTTCCCTTTTTGTGACTCTCAAGCCATGCTAAGTTGTTGTGTATTTATAGTTATGAAACAGCATCAACCAAGTATTTGATGAATAGACATTAATGTTTTGCACTAGTGAAGTGAAGGATGTATATAAAACCCAGTGTGAGATGAACATGTTGATGTTATTCTAGAAAACAAATGGTAAGGTATATCTGGTTTAAGAATGGTAACATTTGAATCAACTAAAGTTTTTTTCTTTCCTTAGAAAAATTTGTTGGTATTTTCTACAGATATTGTTTTCAGAACATAATCAATTATTGATAATATTTTATAAATAGGTATCAAACATTAGTTTAGAATCAGATATATTGACAGATAAGTTAAAGTTGGCAATTTCCAAACTTGAGCAGCTATAAATAGAGCAATCTCCCACATCAAAACACTCACTGGAAAACAATCATAGACATATTCAAATGTTTCATTTCAACATCTATGTCAGTTCAATAGAAATGTTTCATTCAACAACTTCTAAAATAGTCATAGACACATTCTCAACAAGAAATGTTTCATTCAACAACATCTATATCAGTTCATGTAATGACACCTTAGTTATGTATGTGATATGCAACCCCTATTTTAGAAAATTGATAGATCGATGAAGATATGATCAGTGGTAATTGTCTCTACGATGCTAATGAAAATTCTTAAATTCTACCAAATATGAAATTTGAGACATGATCAGTGGTAATTGTCTCTACGATGCTAATGGAAATTCTTAAACTCTTCCAGATTTTGGATATTAGGTTTATGAAACAAGGAGTACAAATGAAGAAAATGTGGCATCGAATCTTTCATGAACTGTCAGAAATGGATTTGATTTACATGCGCCTATCAGTCTCCAGCTAAGCCAACCACAGTCTCAATACAGTGAACCAGCAACCAAAATCATGAAATTAGGGTATTCCCTCGAACTAATAATGTACCAGTTTACGCTCTTTCTTTCTGATTTCTTTAGAAACTAATTACTTAAATTCTTCACCAGATTACAGCTACATTCCTAACAAGCTGTCATGAACCAATTCAAATATATAATCATGCTGCTATGTGTACCTAGAATGATATGTTAATTTAGGATCTCCCATGTCCAGACTAAGTCATTGTCAATAGGTGTTAGTGATAAAATAGTACTAAATAGTTAAAAAGAAAAAAGCAAAAATTGTTTACATTACATGGATGAACAACTGTTCCAGTTCCAGTTCCAATTCTAATGCCCAGATTATAATATAGTAGGTTCCATTGATAAATTAGTTGCTACTATCTAATATAAAACTATACACTAGTTGAATAATCTTCATCAATTGTTAAAATAAAGTAGAAATAAGGCACATGGTTAATAAAATGTCTGGGGTTTTTCTAAACGTTTGTTGTGGTGAAATTTCCAGAATAAACCTGCAATAAGCACTAAAAGGCATCATCAAACTCAAGAATGCAATCGAATTGAAGTCATATATAAAACTGAATTGAAAATGGAACACCGTCAAACAAAAAATCAGAAAATGGAATGGTTGAAATATAAGTAACAAAATCGAAAATGGAACACATATCAAACATAAAATTCAAAAAATGGAACAATTGAAATACAAGGAACATAAATGCATTTACCTGAGTTGAAAAGGAGGATGATCGTTTACGTTAGGGTTTTCCAATGCGATTGAAAAAAGAAGAAAGAATACATCGATTGAGATTGAGAGAGAGGAACAAAGAACACATCGATTGAGAGAGAAGAACTGAGACTCGTTTATGTTAAAATTAGGGTTTCACAATGGGAATGAGATTGAGAGAGAAACACATTATCTTCGATAAGAGAGGAGAAGAGAAAATTGCAATTGAGTTTCTTATGGATTTTTATTTGGTTTTGGTTATCCATTCAATTGGATGTGGGTGTCCAACTAATTCTAAAAATGGATTGGTTGAAAAACCAAAATAAAATTAGCCGGTTTTTAAAAATCGGATTTGGATATGGTTATGGATAAACCATCAAACCGATTAATTTGAGCATCCCTAATGATATTACTTGCACTCCAAGTAATCACAAAATAACTAACTCAACTAAAACTAAGCTAAGTCAATCTTCTTCGACTCTATCGACTCCTACATGCTTCAATTGCATGCTTCGACAAGTTGTATTTGTCTTTTTGTCAAATACACTTAATACAAACTTTGTTTGACGCATGCTATATCGACACACACTAAAACACCTTTCGACACCCATCAGATACAAACACATTATTTCAACTTTGATGCAAAGAATTACAAATTTGACAATTCTCTATTATTGACATCTTATTTACTATATGCATTAAAAATAAATTATTATACAATTATATTTACAAGAATGAATAAGATATTTCTTAATACACACAAATATATATATATATATATATATATATATATATATATATATATATATATATATATATATATATATATATATATATATATAACATCTTTAATTGTCTTGTCGTTTCATATTTTATATTTCACTTTTTCACTCCTATCTTAAGATGACATTAGAGTACGATATGGAAATTGAAACACCGTTAGAAAATTCAAATAGAAAATAACTAAATAACAATGGTAACAAATAAAATATCAATAACAATAATAGTATGGATTCTTTAAATCTATACTACACATCCATCCTTTAGATCACCTTGATCACTTCTTGTCCCAACAAAATTGAATGGCGTCAATCACTCATCATGGAGCAGGTCGATGGTCAATGCCCTCACAACCATAAATAAAGTAGATTTTATCAATCAATCGGTCAAAGAAAGATCACAAGAAAATAAACATGTAGAGTATGTTATATGGTAGCATCATTTTATCATGGTTGACGCATTCCATAGAATCGGATTAGGCTACAATTTATCATGGTTGACGCATTCCGTAGAATCGAATTAGGCCACAAGAGTCATTTTGTGCCATGATTGCATTCCAGATTTGGCCAGACTTTAAAGATCATTTTTCACATAGAAATATTCCAACAATATATCAAATTCAAAAGTCTTTTGCCCCATTATTCCAAGGCATTATGTCAGCCTCAACCTATTTTACAAAAATCAAAGATCTTTGGGATGAATTAGAAACATATTGCATTCTTTCTACTTGCAACCAGATAAAGGCACCCAATGAACAAAGGAAGAAGATTTTTTGATGCATTTTCTCATGGGCCTTAATGATTCATACAACAATGTTTGCATCAACATTCTCATGATGTCACTGTTGCACCCCAAAATTTGCCCAACCTTATTCACTTGGTTTATGTTTCAATATCATTAGCATTTGCATATAGAGTCATGTACATAGTCTAATCATCTGCATAGCATAAGCATAGCAAGTCATACAACAGGGGGGCCAATCATTATTCTCATCTCTAGAGGCCTATCAAGAGGTTATTATCCCAATTCAATCTCATTCAAGTCATCAGGAAAGAGTTTGAAAGCAAAGAGTTCAGCAGATCAAGCCTTGAGTCCATCTCCTAGCTGAGGGTATCTGAGGGTCAACAAGAGGGTTGTGAGCTGTGAATTGAAGGCATGGGGAGTATCTATACATTATGAGAGACTTAGAAAGTCATTTAAAGAAGGATACAAGTCATTGATGAGAGCACAAGAGCTATAGCTGAAGGCAGTCAACTAGGGTTTCATCTGGGTCAACCCTAGGTCAACCCTAGGTCAATTGACTGATTTAAGGGGCATTCAAGTCTAGTGGAGAGATGTGGGGTTCATCATTGGACATATAAAGAAGGATATGGAGATATGCCAAGAAGAATTCAAGAGAAATCAAGGAGAAGAGGAGTTTCTAAATTAGGGTTTCTGTGTAAAATCCCCTAGTTTAGGTCAAATTTCCAAGCAAGATAAGTCAAAATGCTAGCTTCAAATGGATCCTTGGCCAACATGAAACTTGTAGAGGATCTCAAGACCTTTAATTTGAGTGGTGGAAGACATCAAGGAGATTTATAGAACTCAAGTTATGGTCCTTGCAAGTTACAGGTCATCTGAGGTATCTGAAATTTTGTCTGTGAAAGTGACTTGACTTCCAAGCAATTTTTACCCCTCAAGGAGATTTCAAATGAATTTCTGGTCAACATAAGAATTGTTCCTCATTGTCGTAGCTTTCTATAATGGTATAGTATGCCTTCATATGAGGTGTGGAACTCAACTTATGGTCTTGGCAAGCAAAGGGTATTTTGGGCATTTGTGAATTACAGGTCATTTTAACTCATGTCCAAAACTCATACAAGGAGGCCTCAAATGGAAAAACTTACAACATCAAACTTTCTCCAAATGACATTTTGAGTCTAGAAAGAAGGTCACAAATTGTTGGAAAAGCTCATAACATGAAGTTGCATGATTGGTTAAATGTGAACTAAAATGGCTTATAACTTGAATAAAGTCAAAGTGAAAAATGGTTTGGGAGATTT